AGAGAGTGTATTATGGTTGAACAACACCCTCTTCTTGGTGTTGAAGCGTGTGCTGAATCAAAGTGGATGTGAGTAGCCACGTTAATTATATCCAAGGGATCAACTTGTCCATTAGAGTCAGTGAAGTTAAATGTTCCAAAATAGTTATATTCCTGCTATGGTGCTGTGTGATGTTCAAGATATATTTTTTTCAGATACCCCATCAAAAAAATCTGATTTGAACAGATTTCATTTCTAAACAAAATCTTGTACTGTCATGTTGGAACAAACAGCTTGACCCTGCCAATGAGCTGTGCTGTCTGCTTGGGGTGAGCAACACAAGAATGATGAATGACAATTGGCTCAAAGAGTTTCTTTGGTAACCTGATGGGGCTGCGCCACTACTATCTCCATGGCAACTGGAGGAGGGGAAAGAAGAAACGAGATTACATTTAGATTAAAACTCAGTCTATTGTCATGGCAACATTCAGGAAGAGAAAAACGTGTGCCAAGAAGCCTCTGGGCCGAAGTGCACTGATCATCTGAAAGAAGGTGTCAAGTTTCAAACCTATAGTTTGAGCATGCAGGGGCTAGGAAACAAATTCTTAGGCCAACACTAAAAAATGTTTTAGCAAACAAAGTTGCTGAGTTTCAGTACTGCTGCTCCTCTTGTATCTGCTCTGCAAAAGTGTGTTTAGAAAATGCATGTCAGACTTTTTGAACTGTTGTTCAAGACCCAGCAGCACAGACCAGAAAACCACAAGCTAAATTTCCTGTTTGGGTTACTCCCATGTTGGTGGATTTCTAGCTGACAATAGTGAACTTACAGCGATCCCTGATAGGCCTGATAGCCTCAATTTTTCATAGTTTAAAATAGGGGCTGGTAGTGCTTGGTAGCTCAGAGAGATGGAGGCAAAGTTAACATGTCAAATTGATGACGTATTGTCAGAACCAGGATCTTGCAATCTCTTGTAAACTCCTCCAGCCTTATTTATAGTCACCTCTTCTAACTTTACCAACATGAAACATTTACATTTCCTCTGTGAAACACAACGTAAACATACATTGTTTCTGTAGCTGTTGCATCCTTGTTAGCTAATTGAATGTGTTCATGCCCCAGTAAACTAATGTGATTTCCTATTTTAATATATTTTTAGTGTAGCTAAATATGAACTCTATATTCTCACTATGTACTCCATCACATTCTCTCACTATGATCTGAGACAGCAATTGACCTTTAATGTCTTTGTGACCTCAAGACTGGAATGCTACAGTGCCCTCCAGGCAGGCCACCCATTTCACATGCTTCAAAACTGCAACTCATGTAAAACACTGCTGCTTGTAAGCGGTGCTGAATTAGGCCAAATGGCTCAATTCTGACAATCAAAAAGACAGTAGCTGTTCTTCTAACTTACCTCCATTATTTTTGTCTTGTCTCTATGTCCCTTGATTCCTTGAATATGTTTAATGAATGAGTATTCTTACCTCTTTGGTTAAGGAACTACAAAGACTTCCACACTCTGAGTAAAGAAATTTCTCATCATTTCAGTACTAAATTACCAATGTCTTATCTTGAGACTATTTACCCTGGACCTAGACTCCACTGGGAGAAAGCCTTGATGTGTCTCTGGTCATTCACCAAGCTCTATTTGCGCATCACACCTCTCCTTTTTGACCTAAAATTAGTTTCCAGCTTCCAATGCATTAAATTTAAAATCTTCATTCAAGGTTTCAATTTCTCACTTCCACTAGTCTTTAACCCACATTGAGCTGTCCATTCCAAGATTCCTGGAACTTGGCACCTCCCCTTCCTTTTCCCCAATAATTAGCGGTGATGCTTTGGTCCTGTTCTCAGGAATTTACACTAAAACTTTCGAACAATAATTTGATTTTCTGGAGTGAATTTAATATTGAAAGATATCCAGAATGCTTCACAGAGGTGCAATGAGATTATGATCCATCTCCCTCCTTTAATGTCATCTTCACAACTTCAGCTTCTCAAACCCATAAGATATAGGAGCAGAAATTAGGCCAATCAGCCCATTCAGTCTGCTCTGCCATTCAGTCATGGCTGACAAGTTTCTTAACCCCATTCTCCCCCTAACCTTTGATGCCCTTGACAGTCAAGAACCTATCTATCTCTGTCATAAATATACTCAATGACCTGGCCTCCATAGCCTTCTGTGGCAATGAATTCCATAGAATCATCAGTCTCTGGCACAAGAAGTTTCTCCTCATCTCTGTTTTAAAGGTTTTTCCCTTTCCTCCAAAGCTGTGCCCTCGGGTCCTAGTCTCTCCTGCTAATGGAAAATCTTCCCAACGTCCGCTCTGTCTGGTATTCTGTAAGTTTCAATTAGATCACCCCTCTTCCTTCTAAATCCTATTGAGTATAGACTCGGAGTCCTGTAACTTTCCCCATATATTAAGACTTTCATTCCTGGGATCATTCTTGTGAACCTCCTCTGGACCTGCTCCCTGAGGTATGGGGCCTAAAATTATTCACAATACTCTAAATGTGGCCTGACCAGAGCCCTATAAAGCCTCAGAAGCACATTCATGCCTTTATATTCTAGTCCTTTCAAAATAAGTGCCATAATAGCCCTAAAAATAGCACCTTTTGTTTGGTACCCACTTTCCTTTGATTTTTATGCTGTGCAGGTATTATGTACAAGTTGTTTGTGGTGAATGCCAGGGGTAAAACTTTAAAATTTTTTTGTGGATGATTCCAAGTCTTTGTGTGTCTCTCTCTCTCTTCAACCCCCCCCTCCTGTTTCATCCCATCCATTGTCAAGACATTTTGTGCTTCAGGAATTCCTCATTGAGATCTCTGAAGGAGGAAAACTGTTTAAAAAAAGTACTAATTTATTCAATATTTTTGTCAGTTAACCACAACAACAAGCATGTAAACCGGAGATCGAATGTAAATTACTTTAGTATAATCTAAGTGTTAAAGTAACTAGCAATTCAGTTTAGGTGTGGACTTTAGAGATAGTAGGAACTGCAGATGCTGGAGAATCTGAGACA